TTTTTTGTTATATATCGTTAGTAATCACTAACGATAATAATCGGCAGGGGGGTTGTATATCGATTGTAATCTAGGGATTACTATTGATATATAGCACCTTTTAAATTTTGCTGATGACTAACCCTAATTCTAATATTAATATAATTTATATTGTATACATAGTTTTGTTATAGGGTACACTATGCAGAGTACTATTTAGATATTTCTTATAATTATATTATATTATATAAACTTTATAAATTGGTATCTATTATTGAGTTAGGTCAATTTTTGCAAAATATTTTTAAACAATAGATTAATTACTATTTAGAGTTTTTTTTAGATTTCTATAAAAAAATTTTGTTTTTTATTTTTTTTATTTATAAAATTTTTGAAACTAAAATTAAAAGCTAGGTTGCTAATAAATTTTATATTATAAAACCAAAAATTAATATTGTATAGTCTATTAAAAATTAAATTTTTTCTCCAAATAATTTGTTAAATAATCTACTTTACTATATTGTGTTAAATTATTTAAAATATTTGGGTTTAATTTATTTAATTAATTTCAAGCAATACTTAAATCTTTATTTGAAAAAAAATATCTTTTATATTTGCTATTGCTAAGCAAAGTTTTATTTTTTTGTTTCTTCAGTCATATTTGGATGGCATTTGAGATCAAATTTATTAAAAAGTCCTCAATTTGTTATTAATATACAATAATATAATATATATGATACTTTATTAATTCATATAGTAATAGATATTTATAAACAGGTTCTATTTTTGAATTTGCAAACTCAATAAATTTATTTAAAAATATTAGGTCTTCTAAAGCTTTATGTAAACCAAAATTTTAAAATTCTGTATTCAAATCAATTTTAGCCTTAAGTTCTTTAATATAGTATTCTTCTTTTATTGTAGAATTATGATCTAATAAAACTTTTAAAATAACTTTGGTATAGGCTAAAGTAAACTCATGTCTATTATCTTTTTCTAATCTACATATATTTAAAGATAATTATAACTATACCAAGCTATTTTTCTAAGGATTTATGTGCTGTTTTACTCCTGAAGTTAATCTATCAACTAAAATTTGAAATTCTGTATTATTTAAACTATTTATTCTATTTAAAAGCTCATCTTTAAAAAATGAATAAAATATTATTTATAATATTTGTTATATCTTCTATCTATTGCATAATAGTATCTGGTATTTCATGAGCTCTTCTTTCTGGAAGAAGTGTTGTTAATGTATTATTTTTTTCTAATATTCTGGAAGTTGAATCAAAACCTGCTAGAAAATTCATTATTGCATCATATATTGCTTCTTCAAATTTTATTAAATATTTTATTTGTATTTTAAGCAAAGGATCTTTAAGCCAACTATCTAATAATTTCATTTTGAAATACTGTCTTTCTTCTCTATAATCACCTTCTATATAATCACAACTCCTGTGCAATCACATTAAAATTTGAGACAATTTATTAATAAACTTATAAAAAAATACTTCTATATAATCACACTCTTTTATAATCACTAATTTTCTT